TCCTGCCCGGGGCCGCGCGCCCCGCCGCTGGTCCCGCGCTCCCCCAGGTGTCCTGGGCAGCTGCTGGCCTGGGCGCTGCTGAGCGGCTGTCCCCGGCGGCGGCGGCACTTTCCCCCACTTTCAGGCGGAGCGCATCCTCATCTTTGTGTGGCCGCCGCCTAATTCGCGCACCCTTATTCAGATTTGGTGACGTGGCGCGGCACGCAGGGCGCCCGCCGGCCAATGGGTGCGCGGTGGCCATGGCAACCTCTTAAATTTATAGCATATCTAAATTGGCTACAGCGTCGCGGTCCGGACAGAGCAAAAAAACAAGGCGTCAGTATTGCTGAGTATTAGCTGGTACCTGGTTCCGACGCGAAGTAAGTATTTACCTTCCAGTCGGGGGCTGCGGGCTGCGGGCTGGAGCCGCGCGATCTGAAAACTGCTTCTCTCTTCCCCCCTCTCTCTCTCCTCACAAATATTTGGGGGCCAGGATTCCTGGGCCTAGTGGGGGAAGGGACCCTGAACCCCCTTCGCCATCCCCGGAACTTGCAGAAGTTGCCCCGGGGGCCGGAGCGCGCTCTGCGTGCGCCTTCGCTTGCCCAGCCCAGCCCAGCCCGTCCAGACTGGAATTCCTCTCCCCCGCGCGTCCCCGGGGTCTGCGCCACAGCAACAGCGCGGCTCAGGGGGCTCCCAGAGCCGGGTGGCTGCTTTTGTCATACAAGGGGCCAGGGCCCAGGTGGCCTTGGGGGGGGGGAGGAGAGGGAGAGACAGCGAGAATGAGAAAAAGAGAGAGAGACAGAGAGACAGAGAGCGAGCGAGCAAGTGGAGGCCCTTCGGCTGGCGTATTTTTCCCCAAACAGGCCCAGGTTCAGGCTGTCTGTGTGTCGTGGGGCCGCGGGGAGGGGGGGGGATGTTATCTGGTCAAGTCCGGACCCCAGGATTTCAGGCCTGAGCGCGCAGCCCACGGAGCTCCGGCAGAAATGTGGGGAGGGGGAGGTCCGGGGCCGAGGGTCTCCCCGAAGCCAGCTCAGAGGCGGCGGTCACCACGTCTCGTCTCTCGTTTCCTTGGTGCACCTTCAAGTTCTCGGGTCAGGGGGCCGGGGCACCGCACCGCCTAAGCCGGGAACGCTCGCGATCGGGTGGGCGCTGCTTGCACACGCGGGGCGTGCGAGACGGGGGCGCAAGTTCCATCTCTCAGAGGGCGCGGGGAGAGCGGCTCCGCGGGGCGCCAGGGGTCTGGGAGACGGTGTGTGGGGTGTCCTCAGGTGTGTGTTCAGGAGGGTGTTGGTGAGGGCCTGGTGGGGGGCAGGGAGAGGACCGGGGCTCCTTTCCCAAGGGGCCGGCCCGAGGGTTGCGCTCTGCATTTTAGGGAGGCCCGGAGCCGGCGGGGATTTTCCATCCCGCTGGCGGAAAGCGGGCGCCGGCTGCCAGGGAAGGGAAGGCCCAGGCCCGAGGGCTGGCGCAGGGAAGTGAGTTTGCACTGAGACTCGCTGTGCACCTGCTAGGGTGCGTGTACCGAGTTCCTTCGTGTATATTTGAGAATTGCGTTTTGTCTCTGTTTGTAGTTAGTAATCAGCCATGTGCGCTCAGTTGGGCGTGTGCGTCTGGGTATGGTTCTGCTCATGTCTGTGTGTTAGTCTGTGCGCTCTTGTTTCTGTTGGCCTGTGTATATGTGTCTGCATGGACTTGCGGCCACGGGAATGCCAGGGTGTTTGTTGTGTGTGTGAGTGTGCATTTGTGTAAGATTATTTGGGTACCTGTGTGCTAACACTGATGTGAAAAGGGACTTTTAAAAATCTGAATATGTGTGTGTGTGTGACTGAGTCTGGCGGGGTGTGTTTGTAAGTGCAGAATTGTGTGGATCTGTGTTGTGTGCCGGTCACTAAGTGCAGGTACTTGTGCATGTAGCAGTGTTTTTGTTTATGAGACTCCTGTAGGTTTTTCGGGGGGTGCACTTGTGTGTGTGCTAACAGTGCTTTACCTCTGGATTTAAAGGGGGGCAGGATTTGTGGATCCCTGTGTTGGGGCAGTTGGCGGAGACACAGCCCCTCTTGTATTTCCCAGGTCCTGTCCAGGCCTAGCACGGCTCCCAGGCTCTAGGAGAGGTAATCTGGCTGGGGACAGGGAACTGACAGATGCTGGTCACCAGGTGGGGTATTGACCCACGAGCCATGCCTCTGAAAAGGAGTCCCCAGATCAGGCAGCCTCTGGCCCAGGGTGCTATTCCTCCCTCCTCCAGCTTGCTGAGGGACAGGTGTCCCCACAGCACAGTGGCGGGGCTGCTCCAGCCAGGCTCTGCCGGGAACAAGCAGGATGGGTGTCGCCTGGTCACCAGCCCCAACTGGTAGAGCTCCAGGGGCCCCAAATGAAACCGCAGTTTCCAGCAGTGCGTGGCCCTGCCCCCGCCCCCGGGGCATGAAGGGTCCTTGAGAGAAACGAGGAGAGGAGAGGAGGGGAGCGGAGAGAGGCGCCCGGGCTCACAGTGGGGGCAAATTGGCCCGTCTACTCCGTCTTTGTCTCACTGGGGTTTCCTCTCTCCCGAGTTCTCTCCCGAGTTCCCCCACTTCTTTTCCTTCCTGACTCCCTTCCTTCTTATGTTCAGCCTCTGTTCTCTTTCTGTTTCCCTTTCCTTCCGTTTCTCCCTCACTTTCTTTCTCGATTTCTCTCTGTTTTTATTTCCCTCCCTCTGCCTCTCTGTCGGGCGTCCAAATCCAGCTTTGGACTCATCGCTGCAATCCACGATTCTCGTCCATGCTGCACCGCACAGATTTTGGGGTGCCGGAGGGAACACACGTACAGTCATTAAAGCCCCCATCTGATGGCCTCTGGACTGGGCACACTGAGCCCACCTTCGCCCAACCCCCCACCAAGCATCTGAAGAGCTGGCCTGTGGCCGGGCACCCCGCTGGCCGCTCAGAGCCCGGGTGCTGGCTCCATCACAGACAAACCCACCTGCCCTCACCTCCTGCGTGTGCTTAAATGCCAGCGCACAGCCGGGCCCCAGCAGCTGCGGTGCCAGGCCAGGGAGGCAGCAGAGATAAGGGGCAGTCTCAGCAGAGCAGCTTGGGTCTCCCGGAGCCTGGATGTGGCCAACCACCGGGGCTGAATGCCCCGTTGCCGGAGGTGAGGGCTCCTCTTCCAA